TCTGATACCAAAAGCAAATTACAGTGAAATAACCTCTTTGGTCGTTGCAGTAGAAGCAAACGTTCATATACTGCACACATGGCCTATAGGCTCTATATAAAATGTCAAACTCAGCCATTTATTTGCATTTAATGGGAACCAACACTTCAGGCCATTTCTGAGTTCATTCAGCCTTATGATTGGTGAAGAATTATTAGGAGCAAAAGGACATTATAATATCCACAAAACTGTACCACACAGATGATCCTTCCTAATTGTATAGCCAAATATATTTCAGAAAATAAATGGAAGAATTTAGATTAATTGAAAAACAGACATGTGAGAGCATGCAAGACGGTGAAAATAATGGATTGCAGTACAAACTTATTTCAGAAGAATGTAATCTTAAGACCTATAATGCACATCAGAAAAACTGAGAATTCCAGAGTTTGGGTGGGTCATTAGCAACTCAAGGAAGAAAATGACTATTCCTTACATTGATTGGATTTTTTTTACCCAAAGGCTATGGCCTCATTATTTCATACAAGTTTTCTCAATTCAGTGTCACTTGAGTTTGTGAGGAGTTTGAGAAGTACAAATAAGCAATGAGAAACTGTACATCATTACCCACATTCATACTTCTGGGACTGACAGATGATCCTCATATGCAGATTCTGATTTTTATATTTCTGTTTGTCTCCTACACATTGAGTATAACTGGGAACCTGACCATCATTATACTCACTTTAGTAGATTCTCACCTTAAAACTGCCATGTACTTTTTCCTCAAAAACTTCTCCTTTTTAGAAACCTTATTCACCACCGTCTGCATTCCCAGATTCTTATACAGCTTATCAACTGGGGACAAGACTATTTCCTATAATACTTGTGTTGCCCAACTATTTTTTGTCTTCCTTTTTGGAACAGCAGGATTTTTCCTCCTGGCCATCATGTCCTATGACCGCTATGTGGCCATCTGCAAACCTTTACATTATGTAACTATCATGAACAGCAGAGTCTGTGGATGGCTTGTTACCTGCTGCTGGATAGCAGGGTTTGGGGTCATATTTCCACCAGTTTGCCTGGGCTTAAACCTGGAATTCTGTGACTATAATATTATTGACCATTTTCTCTGTGATGCTTCTCCTATGCTAAAGCTCACTAGTTCAGACACATGGTTCATAGAACAGATGGTTGTTGCCCTTGCTGTGTTGACCGATGTCATGACA